CCCCGCCGGGGCTTGCCGCCCTCCCCCGGGGCTTTGGCCGCCCTCCTCCCCCCCCCCACCCCTGCAGGGGGGGGCGGCCAGCGGCTTTTTTGCCTGGGGCGGCAAAAAAGCCAGAGCCGGCCCTGATGCTGCTTAGTTATTGTACATAAATGCACAGCTCAGGTAAAAAAATGAGTTGAAAAGAGTTGCTAAGAATGGGATCTTTGGCCCCCTCCTTTGAAAATCTACATATTATAAATGGTTTAAAAACTATACAAACTCTACTGCATGCAACATATTTCTGGCAAAGACTGAACTTCACTTTCTATAAGAATTATAAAAACAATTACTCATTTAAACAATTCTTTACTGCATATACTTGCTGTATTCCAAGTAAAGTAATAAATACTCATAAACCTGATGTTGACTTCTTAAAAGACTTCTCATGTGGAATAAATTAGGATGCTGTTCCAGGAATCTATTTATGGTTGTGTTTGCCTAGCTATAAAAAAAAGTACCTCATGCAGCTCAGACATTGATCAGTTACTACCCACCTCCACCTATTATAAGTCATCAGCATTAATGGTTGCTGAATAGTTATTGTAAATGACACCTCAAGGATGCTCATAAGTGTATAATGAGTGAGTAACATGATTTTACTGCTCTTATCTCCATAAAAGTCCAAAGTCAAAACCACAGTGGGTTTATATCAAACTCATTACTTTGTTGTTAAGAGGGTCTTGTATTAATTAGTGGTCTGTACAAAAGTTTACATTAATTTCTTGTGAATATACTTATGCTAAATGTACAGTACAGTGACACAGGATATAATGCAATTAAAATGTATGTTCTGCCCATTTTCTATATATTGAAAGAACAAGAATATATAGCCAAATCAATTAAATTTAATTATCAAATAAAGATCATCTTCTTGCAGTTGTCATCATTATGAAATTATTTGGGGAAATCTGCTTATTTAGATATAAAGTTGGAAAGTGAAGGGTGTCTTACAAAATCTTGTAAAACAGTTCTCAGTTTGGTGTTTCTGAAGGGAGAATTGAGAAAGAGCCAAGACAGAATGTAAACTGAACACTACCCGTGAGCTAAAACTGGGTACTTCGGGTTCATTAGACTGGTAACAACATGAGTATTATTGCTTTCAAAACCTAAACTCTTCTGATATAGAAACTAACTTGAAACAAGGTAATTTAACCAGAAGACAATATGACTCATGGATCACATATATAGTTTAAAATTGGAAGCCATTTGTGTTTCTTTACTTCTGAGATATCTGGATTTGAGTTTTTATGAAAGTCAGATCTTTAACTTTATAAAACAGAAGATAACACATTTCAGGCTACTTACTAATAACACAGATTAATTATTCTTTCTCTGTTTTAAAGTGAGATGAACTGCAGCTCTAATTGTCCAATCCCTAACAGCAATGCATCATAGAAAATCTACAATTAGATAGCACAGGACTTGGAGAGAAAATGGCACATATTTTGTTATATTTTTGTACAGTGCCATTGCAATAGATAAATACATGTCTGAACATCCAACAGTGTTTGCAGCTATTTACTGCTAGTTAAAACAACGTTTCTCAAGGCACTCAGCAGCCGCTGCCCATTGCATTCAACACAGAACATCTTGAGATCTTAAGTGATCAGTCACAGTTAAAGTGCAGCAAAGTATTGTTAGGTCCATCTTCGCTTTTGCTTTACTCCTTTAATTGACACAATTCTTTGTGATTCTTCTGTCGCTGTCAATTTGTCTGATGCTTTTTGTAACATTAATGGTGACTTCTTTTGTGGGCATTTTCTTGGTGTCCCATTTAGCCTGTTAAAAAGTTTAAAACAATATAATGAGTTCAACATTGGCAGCAAATTGTGAGACATTTACAACAGCTATCTGAGGTTCGTCAAAATAAATATGTTAAATACACAGAAAGACCAAGTGTTCTCCACCCATTTTTGTGATTTGGAGTATATTTTTTAGTTAAGCACAATAGATATCTATCTGGCCTCATCCAAAGCCCATTGATATCAAGGGAAAGACTCCCATAGATGTCAGTGGGTATTGGACCAGGCCAATAAATCCTATTGACCGATATTAACACTGCTGTGCATGCACCTCTGTGCACAGACTGAAAAATGTACCCCTTTCAACAATGGGGCTAGTTTTAGTCCATGGATGGCATTGGGGGAAGCCAATGGGAGTTGAGCATACATTGTTCAGGACAAAGTTTGGCTTGAGTTTTCTTTAGGTTTCTCCTGCTCTTAAACCAGAATAGGTTTTTCAAAATTATAGTTTAGGTTTGTATACAAGAGAATTAAGTCTTATATACATGGTACAGTTCTGTATCAAATCACTTCCAAAGAATAAAGAACTTTACAATACAGCTCTCATGGAAGAAAAGTCACTCTAGTTTTTTTTAAAAAAGGTTAAAATACATAAAAAATTAATAGTTTATTTTATTCACTAGCAGCAAACCCAATCCTGGTAATACCAATTGTCCCTTAAAAGTAGAATCGATTACAAACAGTTTGATCCCCTTAAAGTTGATGGACAAACTCTCTTTGATGTCAACGGGAGCTGGACTGGCCCTAATCCTCAGGTTCTAGTCACTTACAAATAAGTTTTACATAGGTACTCCTCTTGGTGTCCTAACCCTTTTGGATCAGCCCAGAATATGGGGCAGTACCAGGAAGCAGTTGTGTCTTAAAGACATCACTATGAACACACATCATCCAAAGCTCCCTTTTCCAGGAGAATGCTGCATCAGCCCTTTGCAAGATGCAGCAGCATTCCCCTCTTGCATCCAATCAGCTCTGCTGGCCAGCCTGAAGAGGTGCAGAGTCCTTGCTGGTACGCTGATACCATTGCCTGTCATGCATACCTTAGCCTCTGTTTGCCAGAAGCTGGGAATGGGTGATTACCTGTTCTGTTTATTCCCTCTGAAGCACGTGGTATTGGCCACTGTCGGAAGACAGAATACCGGGCTAGATGAACCTTTGATCTGACCCCGTATGGCCATTCTTATGTTCTTATGACCAATATTGTTGCATTATTTCCTTATGCTCCCCCATCTGTCTATCTGTCTCTTGTCTTATACTTGGATGATGATGCTGTTGATGATTGATGATGTTTAGTAATTATATCTATTTCCAAAGCACCCAGGGGCCTTTGTCATGGAACCCATTGTGCTATACAAATCTAGAACAAAAAGACAATCCATGCCCCAAGGAGTTTATAATCTCAGTTTAAAACAAGAGACAACAGATGGATACAGACAGACAGTTTGTAAACTCGTTGGGACAGATACCATCTTTTTGTTCTGTGATTTTATAGCACCTAGCACAATGTCCTCTTTGCCCTGCCCTCAGAGCCATGATCTAGGTAGGTCTGATGCAGGCATGCAGTGGGGGATCCTGCACAACATGGGATTATGTGCAGGACAAGGCCATGGTGTAGCCCCCTTTTAATGCTTCTTTACCAAAGAAGTGCTTTTCTTTCCATGCTATAAATTTGGACTCCTTTGACCCTTCCAAAAGTTTTGTACAAGAAGAAAACCCATACACTTGTTACTCAAAACCAGCAAAATTTCTCTGACACTTTGCTTGACCTCCACTTAAGTAAATATATAAAAAATATCATGAGACTCTGGGGTGTTCTATCACTGTGATGTAGGAGATGTGTCGCTTTCTTCTGAATTACTCTATACTTAGTAATCATCAAGAAGTCCATGGGCATTTCTGTTTAAAACCAGATGTAGTGATGTAGCCCTGGCTATTTACTCCCTGAAGCAAAATTCATGATGCAATATATTGTCCTGTGGCTACTGTGAAATACAGGAAACAGAGGGCCAAATCCTTGTTACCCTGTGGGCCAGCCTGGGCAAGTAGAGCCAGGAGGATTTGTCCCAGAATGTATGTGCCATCATATAGATAATAGCTCAGATGGTCCATTTTTAAATGAGGTTGTGACAGAATGATGAAGCCTAATTGATGAGTCAGCTCTCTGATCACTGTAGTCTCAGTTAGTTTCCCCAGCAGTAGTTGATTGAGGAAATAGGGAGGAATTAGCTAATCAGATGGGAACACTGGGTGAGTTAAGGAACTAATTGGCTCATCAGATGACTAGCTTGATACAAGGCAGAAAGGAAGTGTTATTGGGGCAGGGCAGCTGTGCCCAAACTGAAGAAGATCCCAAGGAAGGGAGATCTCTTTTCCTTCCAGGGCCCTGATGGTAATAGGGCTACAGGAAGTAGAATTGTTGTACTGACAGGTGTTGGTTAAAGGGACTTGAATAAATTATATGGAGTGGACTCTAAAAGAAGAGAGTCTTAGCAGATTCTGTGGTGAACAAGGAAAGATGAGGCATATGTCCCATTACAGATGTGAACTGTCCTTCGCCATTAACCTCTGCTCATACATATTAATCTGATTATTTTAACAGGAGGAGCTGTGTTTTTCCTCAAGTTGAGCTTTAAATGCAGAGCATATTGGGGACATGTACAGTATATATAGTCCCCATGCAAAATAAAAATTTACCTTTTAGAAATCTAGTGATAGCAATTGCCTCAGTGACCTACCGCAGTAGTCAATTCCACCGGCTGACCGTACACTATCTAAAGTAATATTTATTGTAATTATCTAAAATTTACTGCCCCTTATTTTCAATGATTGCCTCCTTGTATTTTATGAAATCTTCAATCTGCCCTTCATAATTTGAATAATTCATTCAAGTCTTTTCTGCCTTTCCAGACTAAATAATTATTGCACAGTTTATATATATATATTCATGCCTTCTCTGGACCTTTCCAGTCCTCACTCTATCTTTCTTAAGGTGTGCTAACCATATCTGGACAAGATAAATGAGTGCACACTGGTGTTTGAAACGGTCTTATAATATTATTTCTCTATTTTAATTCACCTATTTGCCTTTTCAAATGTTGCTATGTACCTGGCAAATATTTCATTAGCCACTCACAATGAATCTGATATTTTTTTCCCTGCAGATTATCTAGATTATAGAGCCAATGCTTCCTTCACTTCCACAAGTGTAACTCCCGCTGAAGTCAGTGGGAGTTACACCCAGGCAACTGAGGGCAAAATTGGGCCCCTACATTTGCCAACGTACATTATATTTATGCAAGTTGAATTGCATCTGCCGTTGTGCTGCCTAATCATCCAAAGTGTTCACATCCATCTGGTGTTTCTCACAATTCTCCATAGATTTTGTTAATCAAAATAACCTAATGTCAGTCAGCAAACTTCAACTCCCAGTGCACCTCCTCCGTCGGATCTTTCATACAATATAGTCAATAATCCTGGACCCAATATTAAACCCTTGAGTGTCCTACTGTTGTATTTCCTTCATTATTTTTATTATCAATTTATTTTAGGCCCATATCCTTTTCACCTTACTGACATATACCTTTGCTGGCACTATAGTTTGATTCAGCAAGACAACAGAGGAATAGATATTGTAATAAATAATAATATCTAGCTTATATAGATAGATAGCACTTGTCATCAGTAGATCTCAAAGAGCTTTATTCCCAATTTACAGATGGGGAAACTGAGGCACAGCATGACCAAGTGACTTGCCCAGGGTCACCTACCAGGCCAATGGCAGACCCAGCAATATAACCCAGGTCTCCTGAGCCCCAGTCCTGTGTGCTGTGCACTAGGCAACACTGCCTTCCAATAGAGATAGAAGGTAAAGTCAGTGAGAATACTCACATAAGTCAGATGACCAAGATTTGACTTAGTGTGAACCAACTTCTCTATGCACATGGATATAACAATAACAAGATTTGATTGCATGCATCTTTGTGTGCCAGAAAAAGTTGGAAGAATGAATTTCAAGCCAATGATAGAGGGCCCAATTAAGTAATCCATACTCATGTGAGTAGCCCCATTGCAGTCAATGGTAACATGATTTAAGGATTGCAGGAATTGGTCCATCATCTCTAGTAACACCAAATAAAATGAAAGACAAGATGAGTGGGATAATATCTTTTACTGGATCAACTTCTGTTGGCGAGAGAGACAAGCTTTCGAACTTACACAGAGTTCCTCTTAAAATGTTTGTATTCTTGTTGCTAAAAAAATAAGAATAATAGATTAGATCTATCATTTGTAGAATCAAATTCTGAAATGGTGCCAAATCTCTTACAAATTGGATTTTATAATTACATTGATTCTGTTACACCATATTCAATTTGACTGATTAAATTTCTCCATGGACTCATGATTATGACAAGCATTTGCACTTTTTCATTTTCAGCAATCCCCTTATGGCTCTTGAAGTCATGTTGACGTGGAATATGCCCCTATACTCCTGCTACTGCAATACATAAATGGAAAGACAAAACGGTAGGTCACAGGGGAATATTTCCGTGCTGCAGAAGCAATGAAGGATGAATAATACAGTACAAGGAGGTTTAAAATAAACACACACATACTATTGTGTTTGCTATTAATGAACATTAGAGGTAAAGTTGAGATGTGGCTTCCAATCTAAACTCCCTTTTCCAGTTGCTCTCTATTTTCTCAGACAAATTCCTTTTGGGCTCAAATTTCCCATGCGTGTTCTCCCATCTCAAAGGTAAATGTTTGATAGAACCTGTCTGATGATCCTACTGTGCAGTTGGGTAGGGGCCTTTGGGTCTGTCTCCTGTCAGCACTTAATCACCAGTAAGAAGTCGTAGATTCAGAGTCTGCCTCTGCCCAGATCTGCAGCTTCTCATGCAATATGCTGTGGCTTCAGTGTAAGTATTTTATTGTATTTCAAGATGTTAAATGGGTTTTGACTGTAAAATGGAGAATTGTAATTATCACAAAAATAATTGTAGTCCCATTGAAACTAGCCCTGAGAGACACGGAACATAATTATAAACCTACCTCTGCTGTTCTGAAGCCATTGTGTTTCTGTGTCAGATTTCCAGAGGCATGGACCGTGGGTTTTGTGGATTGAGTACCACAGCTAGTTTTCTTCTCAGTGTTAATTATTCCACTTGCAGTCGAGGACATGGTAACACAGGTCTGAGTTGATTTTTCATCCTCCAGCGTACCTAATAAGAACACATGAAATCACATTCCAACAACGGTTGACACTAACGGCCATTGTTCCCTTGCATTGTATCACTATTTTGTAACTTTTAACTAAAGAACACGGTCAACTTGAAACCTAGTTTCTATAAAACAAGGAGTTAAAAGTAAGTTTCAGATAGTAAAGCTGCCTCTGTGTCTCCTGCCTATTTTTGCGATTTTTACCTTCACATTTCCCTGTCTTAAAAATGCCTCTCCCGTCATTGTCACTGCGTGAAAGACCCACACAAACAAAATGGGATATGCGTTAACGTGGGCCCATATCCTGCAAGCCACTGAACATGAGCAGACCTTTTCTCTACTTCAGAGCCCTGTTGACTTCATGGGTACAAGAGTTTGCCCATGCAGAGCGGCTTGCAGGATCAGGGCCTAACTCACTATACAAGGAAACAATAACACTGACTGTAAAGAAAGTACTATCGAATTCATAAAAAGGAAAACATTGGAAAAAAAACTAGAGACACCTCTCCCCTTGAATCCCTGCTAACCTTAGTAATCTTAGGGGTTACTCATAAAAATGGTAGTTAAGAAATATTCAGATAAAAATATGATTTTTATTTAGAAGGGTACCCTTAATTTTTATGAGGACTTATTGCATAATAGTCACAAACAAACATATTTTATCAAAACATTGTGTCCATCAGTAGTCAAATTATTAATATTTTTTTCAGCTCTGGTTGAATGTACTGCAAAGCAAACATAGAGCAATATGATATGGGTTAGCCTAAAAAAGTTTCCTCATCTTATTGCATGAGCAGAACTAAGCTATAATTTATAATAAGCCTACTTCATTAAACTTCTAGTTGTAATGCTGGGTCTCAAATCTGAGTTGTGGATCTGGCCAAAGTTATAACAACAATGAAAAAAAAAGAACCAGGCTGGATATGTCACTTTGGCTACTGTAGCTTTCATTGTTCAAAAATGCTTAACAAATTCTGTTTATAAAGAGGCTTGCTTACATGCCAACAGAAAAAAATGTATAATCTTATTTTATGGCTGTACAAGTGTTGTGATCACTGGCTGGAGAAGTAAGGGTGTGTACATAGATATAAAGGGGAAATAAATGTGAAGAGGAACTATACAAAAAACATGTATTGCTGTTTGAATTGTGCATTGCATCACCAAACCCATTCTCATAAATCAGATATGAATTCAAGTATAGCATTAAGTACACTATAAATGAAAGGGATGTAGTTCTGTATTCTCGCCCAGAAATCTGCAGGGAATACACCTGGCAGGAAAAGCTGCCTTATCAATAGAAAGAATTTTCAGGAGCAGGTTTCCAAAGAAAATGACTGAGAGAAGTAAAGTTGAGTGAAATAGTAACAGGGGACATATCAAACAGCTGTCCAAACTGCAAGAAAAGGTCCACCCAAATTTCTAGTCTTGATGCTGAAAGAGATGAAGGTGACTTAATGTGTGAGAAATGTGAATTAAAATATATTATTGCATTTTCCTAAACTGCCAGCAGATGGTGACAGAGCTTCCATGTGCCAGTTTCTCTCTAGGACTGTCAGCTGAAAAGAAATTAAAAAAAAAAAAAAGAAATCCAAATAATCTTGGTTTGTATAAATAAAAAATAGAATTGGCTTTGTTTTTTAACATTAGTGTTGCATTTTATGTTAAAATATGTTTAAAAGTCCTTAATGCTTGGAAGTTGTCATTTTCTGTGAGAGGAAAAAACTGGTGTTTCTCTCATATCTTTATCTGCCTCTAACAAAGAGCTTCAGAGATCCTGGCAATTACAGGCAGGTGAGCCTGACATCATACTGGGCAAAATGGTAGACACTATAGTAAAGAACAGAATTATCAGACACATAGATAAACATGATTTGTTGGGGAAGAGTCAACACAGATTTTGTAAAGGGAAATCATGCCTCTTCGAATTCTTTGAGGGAGTCAACCAGCATGTGGATAAGAGGGATCCACTTGATATAGTGTACTTGGATTTTGAGAAAGCCTTTGACAAGGTCCTCATCAAAGGCCCTTAAGGAAACTACCTAGCAATTGAGATAAGAGGGAAGGCCCTGTCATGGAACAGAACTAGTTGAAAGACAGGAAACAAAGGGCAGGAGGGTGCTGGCAGACATGGGGCTGCATTGCTACACAGCAGCAGCCCCTTGCCTTTTGACAGTAGATGGTGTATTACGACTGGTATCCATCATCGTCGTATTCCAGTTCAATCAGAGGCACCTGGGCAGACATGCTTTGTCTCCTGGAGACTCAGTCCTGCCGGCAGTCCTATTGAACCGGCTTGACGATGATGGCTAGCAGTCGTAGTACAGTATCTTCTGCCAAGCACCCAGAAGATGCCGAGGGCTATCAGTCATGTTGCACCGTCTGCTGCCAGCTTAAGATGTAAAAAATAGATGTATTCATTTGCTTCCCCTCCCTCTGTGAAATCAATGGCCTGCTAAACCCAGGGTTTTGAGTTCAATCTTTGGGGGGCCATTTGGTGTGACAGTTGTTTGTGTTTCTCCCTGATGCACAGCCACCTTCGTTGATTTTAATTCCCTGTACCTGTACGCCATGTCGTCAGTCGCCCCTCCCTCCCTCCATCAGTTTCGCGCCTTTTCTCACACCAGACGCCATAGCACTGGGATCATGGATTACCGCGGCAATTATGAGCACTATGAACACCACGCGCATTGTCCTGGAGTATATGCAGAGCCAGGACATGCCAAAGCAAAACCAGGACCAGCCGAGGAGGCGATTGCAGCGCGGCGATGAGAGTGATGAGGAAATTGACATGGACATAGACCTCTCACAAAGTACGGGCCCCAGCAATGTGCAAATCATGGTGTTACTGGGGCAGGTTCATGGCGTGGAACGCCGATTCTGGGCCCGGGAAACAAGCACAGACTGGTGGGACCGCATCGTGTTGCAGGTGTGGGATGATTCCCAGTGGCTGCAAAACTTTCGCATGCATAAGGGCACTTTCATGGAACTTTATGACTTGCTTTCCCCTGCCCTGAAGCGCCAGAATACCAGGATGAGAGCAGCCATCACAGTTGAGAAGCGAGTGACGATAGCCCTGTGGAAGCTTGCAACGCCAGACAGCTACCGGTCAGTCGGGAATCAATTTGGAGTGGGTAAATCTATTGTGGGGGCTGCTGTGATCCAAGTTGCCAGGGCAATCAAAGACCTGGTGATATCAAGGGTAGTGACTCTGGGAAACGTGCAGGTCACAGTGGATGGCTTTGCTGCAATAGGATTCCCAAACTGTGGTGGGGCGATAGACGGAACCCATATCCCTATCTTGGCACCAGAGCACCAAGCCACCGAGTACATAAACTGCAAGGGGTACTTTTCAATGCTGCTGCAACCCCTGCTGGATCACAAGGGACGTTTCACCAACATCAACATGGGATGGCCGGGAAAGGTTCATGATGCTCGCGTCTTCAGGCACTCTGGTCTGTTTCGAAAGCTGGAGGAAGGAACTTTCTTCCCGGACCAGAAAATAACCGTTGTGGATGTTGAAATGCCTATCGTTATCCTTGGGGACCCAGCCTACCCCTTAATGCCATGGCTCATGAAGCCGTACACAGGCAGCCTGGACAGGAGTCAGGACCTGTTCCACTATAGGCTGAGCAAGTGCTGAATGGTGGTGGAATGTGCATTTGGACATTTAAAAGTGCGCTGGCGCAGCTTACTGACTCGGATAGACTTCAGCAAAACCAATATCCCCATTGTTATTGCTGCTTGCTGTGCGCTCCACAATATCTGTGAGAGTAAGGGGGAGACATTTATGGCGGGGTGGGAGGTTGAGGCAAATCGCCTGGCCGCTGATTACGTGCAGCCAGACACCAAGGCGGTTAGAGGAGCACGTCCAGATGTATACTGATGCAACGGAAAGCAGAATTTATCCTACTGTTCCCCTATTCCTGCATTG